CATTAGCTGTGCTATGTTACAAATTATTTGGATATATTTGATGCAAATTGGATTAAATTAGGTTGAATTTAGGTGGGAATAGCTTAAATTTGGCTAACTTTAATCAGATCTAGCTTTGAATATGTTAATTGAGGTTAGGTAAGATGGTGTTGGGTAGGATGGAATAGGCGAAAATGTGGGTAAAAATGGATATTGGCTGTGCTATGATACAAAACATTTGGGTATATTTGATGGGAATTGAATTAAATTAGGTTGAATTTAGGTGGGAATAACTTAAATTTGGCCATTTTTAATCAAATCCAGCTTTGGATATGTTAGGTGAGGATAAGTGAGGTTGTGTAGGGTAGGATGTATAATATCTTAGTGGTAATGATCTATCATGTTCATAAAATTGTGTAAATTTACCTATTTGGGGGTTCGGGCTATAGCTAACTTATTTAATGTATGGACAGAGGGGACATAGGCTTGTATGTGAGGATATGGGATGCTCATATTTAGTTAGTTTAGCTTTTTGTTAAGCTGAATTTGATTAAATTTGTGCAGTTTAAGTATAACTTTTGATTGATTTAGATGAATTTAGGTTCTAATTAGTTGCATTTTTGATAGGACATAATAAATTTGCTTAAATTATCACAGAAATTACTAACTTCACCTACCTCCACCTGCCCTAACATAACTAAGGCTAAGGCTAGAACCAATTAGTCTGTAGGATGGTTTACCTAAATAAATATCGGTGACATGATTGGAGAGGATCTAACACGGGGGTATTAATAAAGCATTAAAAACAAGGGACATATGTTAGATGAATAGTTTAGCACTAATAATGTTGAAACATTAATGGAAAATGTATGTGTGTTTTATATTGGGCTCATAGGAAGTCAGATGTTCCATTTATATATGTGAAATTCTGACTTTGGGGAGTTGTGTATTGTTTGACCTATTTGGCTGTAATAGTTTTTGTACAAATAACACAATTATTATAGTTGTGAATTAATTGTGCAGATTATGTATTTTGCATAAGTTGTATGATTATTGCAATTATGTATTGATTATATTCCAATAAATTGTGTATTGTTTGTGCAAGTTGTGTATTAATTGTTTAGGTTTTGAATGTGTATCTGTGTAGTTGTGTATTTATTGTATATGCACTAGTTATGTATTGTTCATATTTGGGCAGTTGTGTATTGATTATATTTTGTGCAAGTTGTGTATTAATTGTGTATATGTTGCAATTGTATTTATGTGAATTGTGTATTTGTGCTAGTTGTGTATTTACATATTTGGGTTATATGTATTGTATGTATTTTGTACTGGATATGTATTTGATTGTATTTATGCAAGTTAAGTAATAATCATTATGTAAGATGTATAATATTTGTGCAAGTTGTGTATTAATTGCGCATGTTTTGTAATTGTATATGGACGAATTGTGTAACTACACCTGTTGTGTATTGATTGTCATTGTGCAAGTTATGTAATTATATAGCAAGTTTACTTGTATTAATTGTGCAAAGATGTGTAATAAACACACAATTTGTGTAATAATTGTCTGTGTTTTATAATCGTTTTGTGCGAATAGTGCATTTACGCAGGTTGTGCTTTAAATTTGCTGAAGTGGAATTGGTGCAACTGTATTTTGGAGTGCAAATTGTGTATTTGTATAAGCTCTGTATATGTAATCAAAAAAATAGATCTTCTTGTGCAAGTGTGAAAGTGTATTTTGGTTTATAGGGCATTTTGTGATTTATAAGACATTTTGTGATTATTTGTGAAATTGTGTAATTTTAGTGAAAGTGCATTTTGATTGTCTAAATGTACAAGCAATTTGCTATATTTTTGCATATTCAATATTTTGGGTAAATGTTATACTCTGAGTGTGCATGCAATATTCGTGTAAATGGTATATTTTGTGTACAAATTACCTATTTTGTATGTAAATGACATATTTTGTCTATAAAACCACATATTTTGTGTGTGAATGACATATTTTCGTGTGTCAAAAATATATTTTGTGCATAAATGGCATATTTGGTGTGTAAATGCTGTATTTTCTGTGTAAATATAATTTAGTGTGGAAATGCTTTGTGCATAAATGATATATTGAGTGTAAATGTTTTATACTGTGTGTTTTTGATTATGTGTATTTTTAGTGTAAGCGCAAGTGTTGCATTTTGTGTGTATGATGTTAAATTCATATATATTTTTGTGCGCCTTATCACAACCTAAGCTTTTCATGAATAATTACAAATATATTTATTCCAATGGGACATATACCCTGGTTTATCCATTTGAATAGTATGTAGGTGAGGTATTTAATAATATTTTGGACTTGCTTGAATAATATGGGTACCTTGCTGATTGGTATGCATTAATATAAATTAACAGTACAAATACTTATGGTTACTAGGGGTGAATGAGCTGTGGGGCTACTGAAATTATGTTCTTAATACATTTTAGGGGTTGATATGGCATAAATTACATCATATTAATGAGGCAGTGG